TGACAGCCTGTGGCGGCCGGATCCGCCGTTTCGGCCGTCGCTGGGACCGAATGCTCCTGCCCCATAAACATGGCACCGGGAGTTAAAGCGAGCCGGGCGTGCTAGGGAGTGCCGGCTTTAAAATGGTCTTGCTGTGCCCAGTTGTCCAGCAGTAAGGGGACCCTCTCTGGCTTAACGGGTCTGGCGACTGTTAAAATGCGGGGCAGATATTTAGGAATGCACGCTTGCAAATGCAAGATGCTGGGTGCTACCGTGATGTTTTGTAGACTTCTGCTCCGTATTCTTCACCATGCAGACGAATACTCGTTTTATAGTAAATGTAGCTAAAAAGCTGTGTTTTCTCGCTTTTTTTTCCCCCGTCTCCTATGTTACTAAAACTTAAATCCAAGTTATTTTTGCATGTTCCTCCAGAACCAAGCAGAAAATTAAAGGGAAATAGCTGAAACTTGCTATCTGAGAATAGGCACCTCCTCCTGCATTGTAAGAGTGTGATGTAATGCTTCTTTTTGTGAGGTTAAATGAAAAAATTTCTCTGGTGGTATACATTATTCTTCACCCCTTCCTCATAGGCCTTGTACTGTGATTTTTTTTGTAGCTGGATATTTAAGCAGCAGATAATTACACAAATAATCGGTGAACGTGCTTTCAGATTGCAGTGTATGTGTGCATTGATTATGGTTAGCAGGTCAAATTTGTAAATCTACAAGGTGGGTCATATTTTATATTTCTTTGTGGTCTTACATCCATACAGTTAAATACAAATGGAGGGGACAGACTTGTGTATGTTTACTGTAAATGTATCTGTCTGTCCTCATTATACTCTTGTAGTATATATCTGGGCTTTTTTTTTCTACTGGCTAGCAAATATTTGCAATAATTCTGTAGTGTATTAAGTTTCTCTTGGAAATTAAAAGTGTTATTTTAAATTAGAGCAAACCAATAAAAAAACTACTCAACTTTGATACAATGTATTGTGCTGATAATTTTGGTCTTACAAAGTTTAGTAGTAATGGATAACCCTGTTTGTGTATGAATGCATCCTCCCTGTTCAGGGTTAATGAACTTACTAGATTCCACCCGCATGTTACTGACATGTATCCGTGTGGGGGAATATTACAAAAATGTTCTGTGTCTTTGACCTGATGCACCCTGATGGCTTTTGTTAGTCAAAGCCTTCTTGGGCTTAGTGGAGATCCTGAAGTAGCCAGAATATAGCCATATACCTGTTGATTGACAAACTTAGTTAGCTATTATAGCTGTTTTCAAACGTAGTGTAGAGTAGTAGTGTTCTCAGATTTGGTACTTACTGGACCAAACATCAGTTATGTAGTTTATATCATAATTGCTGTAGCACAGGATGGCTGAACTGAGGAAGTAACAAAAACGTAAATTTTGTCCCGAGTTGGGGACATTGTAAGATGTAGCCTTCCCAGAGTCTGTGCTTGAGAAAAGTGCCTGCCTTTCCTGTATGTATTTTTGCCTTCATGTGTTACTGTATATGTTACGTGTATATATATACATATATGTATAAATGTTAATATAGCTTGATTGTTAGGAAGATGGAATACAGGATATTTTATAATTCTAACTGCTCATAGCTATAGAAGCTGTCATGGATCAGAAGAAAAGCAGCTATTGAGAATAATAGAAATGATTCCAGTACAGAGTCTGTCAGACACTTAAGTAGCTTTGCAGGACAGTACACTGTGAATAGGAAGGACCAATTAAAATAATTCCTCATATAAATATGTCTTTGACCCATCAAATCTTAGTGCAGGGTGTGTGGAGGACTCTGCAGCCTGTGAAATCATAGGATTTTAAAATCCCCATAGGATTTTAAAACCCTAAAACCCTGGACAATTCTCAGTACTGTTTGCATTCAGTATGTTCCTGCAGCACAGAGGGAACAAAACACTTAAAATCGTTTTGAGACTTGACGCGAGTTGTGATTTCTAGATAAATTTGAAGCTTGCAGAAGTGTTCAGGCGAGGGAGCTTTTTTTGCTTTGTTCGGTTTATAGTGATGACACTGGGTTCGGGAGCTCTTTTTCATTTTTCTATTTGCATTTGTATGTCAATTGTTATTGGTATCTACAGGAATCAGTCCCTTTCCAAAGCAGACTATTTTAGTAGGTTGAAAACTGCAGTGAAGTTTGAGTCAGCAGAGCCCCTGGAGGTTTTTTTGCACTACATCTAAGAGATTCTTGAGAAATAATTGACAAGAAAAGACTTATTAGCATTGAGCTTCAATATACAGGAGCCCGCAGTTCTAGTGGGGAAAAAAATTCAGGGAAAACAAGTGTCTGAAAAATCAGTATTCTTAGTTTCAGCAGCTTTTTTTGGCCTCTTTCTCTCCTGCTGGGAAGGAAAAGAAAAACTTCATAAAATCATACGGTGTTTGCTGGCTGGTTTCAGCTAAACCTAAGCTTTCAAGACCTTTATTTCTTATTAATAAATGGCTGAGTAGAGGAGAAAGCATCCAAATCTATAAAAGAAGAAAAATCCATAGAATTAGTGCATTGTTGGAAGATAATTTTTATCAGTACCTTTCCTAGTACCTTAGCAAAAACTTGTTGCAGCTTGCACCTTGAAGCAGAAGTCTTTAATTCTGGTCATTATGGATCTACTTTCCTTTTGGTGACCAGGGTGAAAGGTGAAAAATTTAATTTACGGTTTATTTTGAACAACGTTTGTTAGAATCTGCACATTTGATATTCTCTTCAACTGGCACTTGTTTCATAACTGAAAAGCTTGAGGGTGTTTTGCTTTAATTGATCATGAAGAAACCTCCCTCCTTTCTAAGAGCTGTTTCAGCTTAAGTATTGGGTTTCTATTTAAATAGCTCTAAACAGGAAAAAGATGCATAGGCTATTTAGCTCTAAAAAGCTATATACTTCATGTCCTGTCAGGGGGATCGGGTCTGGGTTATCTGAGTTCCAGTTTTGAAATCTTCCTGAAAGTCTTGTAAAGGGTGGTGTGTAATGTCAGTGTGAAAGTAGGATGTCTTTTCACTTAGAAGAATCCTGCTGAGGAAGCTGGTTAGATTTTAAGTGGCTCAACTTTAAATATTTAGCTGTAATTATTGCTGCAGAATTAATTTGATAAACATGTAGACTTCAGTCTAGGTGAGTACAGAGGTTTATTGCTTCTCAAAGCAAGACAAGTTTAGTATTTATTTCAAGAAACAGCAGCTCTAGTTGCTAATATAATACTGGTATTTAGTTGGTATGATTTCAAAGATTGGTCAGATATCTGAAGTTGGGTGTCAAGATAACACTTTCTGGCCATTTCAGCATTGAGGGCAAATGCAGAGACATCATGGAGATAAAAAATAGTATATACTGAAAATGTATTTTGTTTTAGTGATGGTGCCATAATTGTTTTGAAGGGTGTGGTGCCTTTCTGTATTTGTGGTGAATTCCAGGTCTAGAGCTGTACATCTAGCACTTATGTGCTTAAATTCTTCTGCTTAAATTCACGTGCTTAAATTCTTTTTCTCATTTATACATAGGCTTTTAACCTAAGAAGGCAACAGTTTTTTGGTTTTTTTTGTTTGTTTGTTTTTTTTTGTTTTTTTTTTTTTTTGGTAGAGGACCATATAGCTTGGGAGCAGCATGAATATAGGCAAACCCTGATTTTTAATTTTTTTTTTTTATACAGTGCCATCAACACACTCCTGAAAGGAGTTCTGAAGGCTTTATGGATGTTGTAATTTCAACCGTTATTTTCCTGTCTGTATACAGTATGCTGCCATTATAGTTCAGGGCTGAAATGCTTTGGTGCTACTAGAATTACATATTTACAATAATTTCTGAAAGGTCACATTTTAAGAACTGGTTGATGTGATATTTGGATATTATAGTATCGGCAAATTGAAAGACAAACCTTGATTCTCTTTCAAGATATTGTACTTCCAGGAGTGCTTTTAATTAGCCTGTTTAGTCATGTGGGAAAACAAAAAACAAGATATGAACCATGGAGGTTTTTTGGGTACCTAAGAGAAGATACATTAATAAAACATGAGATGATCTTTAAAGGCAGAACAAATCAAACCAAGGGTTAAACAGCATGGAAAAATATGTGCTAATACACCTGGAGGGGGGAGTCTTGTTAAAAACCACATGTAGTAAGTATATTTGTGTCTGAACTTAATTAAATGGATGCTTGTATATGTTAAGCAGAGAAAATGATCTAAAAGTACTTCAATATTGATAGTTGGGAAAATGCTTAAAAGTACAGAGCTAATTTATTAATACAAATTTACGTTAAATTGAGATTTCTAGAAGCAAAATTGGAATTTTCTACAACAACAAAACTGAATCAAAGCATCAAGATATAACTG